TTAGGAAGCAGTTGTATACAGCTGAGTGATATTTTTGAACGAGTTTGGTGCTATGCATGACATTGGTGCGAAAGTTTCGATCTGACAAGTGTATTATGTTTTTATTTCCAAGGTCTTCCTTTGTACTTGTTTGAATCCTCATCAGTGTTACATAATCTTTTTGTCTTTCTTTTGAACTTGCATTCAGAAATCTTTGAGTTTATTTCTTTCCCAAAGCCAAGCAACAGCTGTACAGTCAAGCTGACCTGATTTTATTTCTTATTACTTTTTTTTTTTTTTTTTTTTATTACTGTTGTTTTTCAAATCATTCTTTTATTGTAATGGTAGTTTTAAGAAAAGTGACATGCTGTATGAGCATGGATAGGAATTTACTGTGGAAGACACAGATTAGTGAATTTTCTATAGAAAGAGAAACATATTTATTAAGGCCAAAATATATATACGAAGTTCGATAATTTTTTAGTCTTTCACAACAAATTCAGGTCCAGATTCATGCAAGATGTTGTGTTTGTAAAATGACAGTGTGGTATATTTAAAACTGTAGCGATAGGTGTGTGTGTGTGTGTATGTATGTATGTATGTATGAATGAAATAACGAGAATAATGTAAATTGTAACGTTCACAGCATTAATTCAAAAAAATGGCTCAATACCAAGTAGAGCACCGGTTGAGATACAATAAGACATCAAAACAAGAATGCATCTTTGTAGTGGGTAATCTTTTTTTTTTTTTTTGTCCGCAGGCAAAAAAAAAAAAAATATATATATATATATATACACACACACACACACGTATGTATCTACTACAACAATGTTTGAAGTAATAGAAAGGTAAGATTAAAAATAAATCCATTAATTCTTTAGGAAATGTTTGTCATTATATAATGTCCCCACTATCTCAAATGGTAAGAAACCGTGTGCTTGGTTGTGCATTTAGACACCTCAGATGCCAGAAATTTAAAATACAGAGTTGTGCATTGCTGCATATTCAGTGTCTCTCATTTTGACAACTCTGTGACCCATATTCTCAGAATTCACTTGTAGGCCAGAATAGGAATCTATCCCATCTTTTTCATCCCTTAAAAGTTTCTTTTCCTCTTCAGACACTTTTTTTTTTTTTTTTTTTTTTAAACTCCTCAGTTGATGGAAACAAAAAGAAATTTTGTTTCTATATATATGCCTGAAGTCGAGTATTCTCACCGGAAAATGATATTTTCATTTCTCTATATAAACCAAAGGTTTAATCAAATCATTACTTCAAAAACTGATTAGACCCTGGTCAAGACTGGCTGATAGTCTTTTCTCTGTTACTACAAGAAAGTAGTTTGCCTTCATGCTTACTTGCTTGTAACTGATTGTGACATGCCAGTGACTAGATAGAAGTGGAGTTTTGTCTTTCCCAAAGGCATCTGTACAAAGTGAACATAAACATCTCTGGCCAAAATTCAAACCTGGTTCATTGATTTTTGATTTTTCTCATGGTGACTTCACACCTCCAAATATCCTAAAAACATAGGAATGAAAACGATTTGGTGCAAAGAAAGAAATTATTGTTGAACCTTCAAGATTCAAAATCTCTTGGATAGACAAAAACATAAAGATTTGGTCATTATGTTCTTGTTGCAATAATAGAAATTTTTTTTTTTTGATTAATGTATCTTTTAATCTTAAAAGTGTGATATTAACTCAGTTTTCTACTGATGCTGCTGGTTATTATTCTATCTTGGGTAAAAGCTATTTTGAATACTGATTTTCATAGTCCCTAGGTCTTCACTTGCGTGGTAGATATTTCCTACTTGATGCAGCCAACTTGTTTAACTTTTGGCTCTGTAATTCTCAGGTCTGTTGAAATCTAAGATGGTAATAACTGTTTTCTTTTAAGGAAACATTTGGCATTCATTGACCAAGCAGTCATTACTTTTATCAGTTGAAATTCATAAAAGCTCTCATTTAAAAAAAAAAAAGGTTATTCAGGAAAATAGGTTTTTCAAGTCTAGTAGCTGTTATCAATCTTTCCAGTATTGATGGGAGATTTCTTTCCTCACCTTCTTATTTGAAGTAGTGTGGAAAGATGACATTTTGTTTATGTTGTTATTTTCCCTTAGAGTTACATGTGCTATTCATTTTAGCTGTTGCTACTGTTGAAAGTCCTCAAGTGATGTGGTTTCTGTTATTTGGTACAGTTCTGTGATTCTCTAGTGAAGGATGATTGGATTGTGTAAATGCATGTATATTTGCATATTTTTGAATTATTCATTTTTTAAAAAATTCGGTTAGAAAAGGGTTTTTTTTATTTTTTTTTTTTATTTTTTATAAAGCAGAAATGCAAATGGTGGCTTTCCATGTAAGAAAATTTTGAGTGGTTTAATTTGTGCAAAAGGAAGACATGATTATAAAAAAAAAAATAAAAGAAATTTGAAAAATAAAAACAAAAATAACTGCTACTTTTTTTTTTTTTCCTTAAATAATCCCTTCCTCCTCCAAGCATAACAATTCTTATATAATGGCAATCTGTACAGTAGTGTACTTTTAAAATCTGCCATAACTAGCAAAGATGTGTACATTGGCCATTTCAAAAGTGCAAGTGGACCAGAATGTATGTTTAATTTGTATTTTATTTTTTAAATATATTTGAATGACTATACATATTATCTATCTTTTATTTCGTGTGTGAGTCTTTGAGCAAATGAAGTGGCTGAATAAATATTTAGAATGATTGATTTTATATATATATATATATATATATATATATATATATATATATATATATTTATATATTTTCATTCTAAGAGATGTTCCTGTGGAGAATATCAAAATATAAATAAATTTTTAAAATTAAATAAAAAGGATTTAAAAAAGAAAGCAAAAAAAAGATGAGAAAAATAAAAGGTTTTATTATAATTTTTGTTGTTTATTTATTTTTGTTTTTTTTTAAACTAATTATCACCTAATATTGGTGAGCCACTCATGGTAGAGGGTTGCTGTGTGGTGTTGTATTAGTATAGGAAAGGACAAGTATGAGAAGTATAGAGCTGAAATCAACTTTAGAAGGAAATGGAAACCGAGTCCTAACCAAGAAACAAAGGATAAACCTCTACTCCTGTTCAATAGATTGCAAAGAAGTGTGAACTAACTATCTACTCTTGTTTTATATAATATATATATATATGTATATATATATATGTGTGTGTGTGTATCTGAATAATATTGAACAGAATTACAGTGAAGAATTCAAGCATTAGAAATAAAATGCTACAGAACTATTCTAAGCTTATCTTATGTGGACTGTATCGCAAATGACGTAATATGAGACTAGATCAGACATGAAAGCATCAAGAAGAAAATGTTAAAATGGTATGAATGTCCTATTAGCCAATATGCTGAAGAGGCTGACAATATCACTAGGTGAACTGGACGATCATTCTTAGAGACTCAGATAATGGCATGTAACTCGGACATGGACGGAGCTGGTCAGGTACTTAATTCTGCATCAACCCTACAACCATATTCAGTCATAGGACTGATAACAATGACTTGGTTTTTCGTATTGCTATTCACTGACTTTACCACTACTCTTCCATCAATGATCTCATAGGAAGGGAGGTGCTCAGCTGCACAGCGACCCTATGACCACACCCAGTAATGGGACTGACAGCTAAGCATGTTGAATCTGTCATAACCTTCAAGTAGTTGAAGATGTCTTATTTTCTGAAAATTAACTGTTTACATTATTCTACAATTTTTTTTTTTTTTTAACAAATACGTGATTTTTGATGCTGTTTAAATCATTTATATCACAAGTATTTATTAAGTGTGCCAAATGATTTCCTTCACTCTAATAATCACATCTTTTTATGATGCAGCTGATTCTGGTGTCAGAGTGAAAAGAAAATTAAATCTGAACAGTAACTGCGTTTTCACAGGAGTTAAGAAGGAAAGCAAAAAGAAAGGACTAACCATCAATTGCAAGAAGAGAGAATGTATGATTGTCAGCAAAAGGAACAGATCAACATGCTAATTACAAATTAGAGATACATATGGGTAGGTGGGATGACAAATTGAATAAACTAAAAGGAAGAGAGACATCTCTTCTATTTAACCCATAGATAAGGAGAATAGATTCATCTCTTTGTCCTAGAGAAATAGTGTGAAACTGAACGCAATGGGCCCATCTGGAATTTGAATGTGACACCTCCATTTTACTTCCTGCATCTATATTTGTTACATTATTCATGGGAAGTATGTACTACTTCCATCCTGCCCCGACCCGACACGAAAAATGAGTATCAGGCTCATTAAGTTGTCGAAGATTTGAAATATTTTGGGTGGATGGACAAGAATGATCCTGTTTATTATATTAAAAAACAAAAAACGGATAGCAACTCAAACATGTGTACACACTAAAAATAATTAAAAAAAAACAGTAATAAGAAAGAATATTTTTAGTAAATTTTCATGCATCCATTATGTCCTCGCTTCTCATGGGGCACTTCAGATCAACCAATACACTAGTACAGGATTGTGTGACGGGCCTGTAAACCATTATGTTGTGTTGAGAAGTCTCTAATTTCTGATTGTATAATTCTGAGTGCAAGACAGATAAATATAGATCAATAGTTATCAATATATAGAATGGTCTTATAAAATGTAGATGGGTAATAGTCATGGTTATACTGTAACTGTTATCCTTTACAGAACACCATGTTTGTAAAAGAATACAAGAGAAAAGGGTCCTCATATGAGAACACATTCCCTTAACATGTTAAAAAACAAAAAATATTAACATTTTCCCCACTTTATTTAGTGTCAAAATGTTTAAAATGATCCTTTTTTGAAAGTCATGCAGAGGAAGTTGTAGTGCTCATGGGAACTAGAATATCCTACATATTTAAAATCAAGATGAGTTGAAATTTCTGTAAAACATTATGAAAAAGGCTAATTTCATGATAATTAAATTACATCATTAAAAAAAAAAAAAAAAGAATTTTAGAAAAACAAAAGGCTTTATTATAATTGTTGTTTATTTTTTCTACTTAAACTGTTTAAATGTTTTGATCTCACTGTTCCATTACATTATCTATATATATCTATCTATCTATCTATCTATCTATCTATCTATCTAAAGCACTAGATCAACCACAGTAAATTTGTGTCCAGGCTCTTAAAACGTTTGACTCTTCTTGACAGATCTGTTATCACCGTGTGTGATATTTAATAACAAAAGTGATGGAGACATAAACAAAAAGAATCTAAATGAATTCTGCCAGATTATAGACCCAAAACATATGTAACTGGGTAGGTATGTTAGGGTGTGTGTGTGTGTATATATATAATAAAAAGGCTTAAACACTAATATTCCATGGTCATAATTTATTCCATTGGAATCGTAAATACGATCCAATTCATCAGACTTACAAATTCAAAAAGAAAACAGAAAAAATGACTCCGGAAATAAAAACAGAATTTAGAGAGAGTGTAAGTATGAGGAGGAGGGAGATTAAACCTTAACAGAGAGAATTTTAGGAGAGGTGGGTGGAAGGGGTTTAAGTAAGAGAAAAATGAATGTTTTCGGATGTCTAATGCATAAAGATACATTTCGTGGTGACACACACACCATAGACAATCTAATGTAAAAATAAGAGGGAGGGAAAGACGAGGTGGGGGAGAGAGATGGGGCGAAGGAAAGTAAAATTGCGTTTACTTAAGGGCCGCTTTGTAATTGAGAAAATTTTACAAATTTAATATCGACTACAGGTTACAAATCAAATATAAACATATAAAAATAAATATAACGATTATCTAATCCAGCAAGGACCTATATTTTTATGTTCAAAAACACATGCGAATACACAATAACGTATACACGTTATTTACCACTAATATTATCTATCTATCTATCTATATATATAATGAATTGTAATAATACTGACTTGATATTATTTGAGTGTTGTTAAAGTAATTACCCAATTGCTATATGTATTTGTAGAGTAGAAGGAATCCTTTTCTCTTTTTATAGTGAAAACGAAATCAATTAAAAAATACAATAATATAAACAATAAATACTTGAGACACGTTGATAAATCTTAAAATTTTAATTTTTTTTTTGTTTGTGATGTGAATTACAGAATATTGATATGTTATGTTTAAAAATGTTCTCAGTGTCACTTTTGTTTAAAAGTCTGTGCTTACTTAATTTGGTTCCGAGAATTTTGTTTGTAAGGATGCATTTGAAATCGTCTGTTTTCGATCTTCCCGGAGTGCTGGCAGATGCGTGTTTCTACTGATTATTGCTACAAAAGTGCTAGAAACGGAGACAAAAAGAATCTAAATGAAATCGGCTAGATTATGGACAGGAAAAAAAAAATACACCCATTAAAAAAAATACCTTAAATTTAAAATTCTCAGCAGCTCTCTTTTCGTTTGCGCACCTGTGTAGCATCAACGTCAACATAAACTTAGCCCGACAAAGTCCAAAAATGATAAAATGTGTCACACAAATACCTTTTCCACTTTGTCCTACTCCTTTCCCCTAAAATGTTCTTGATATATGGTGGCAATAAAGTCATTATATAGTTAGTTACAATAACAATTTAGACAAATCGACAGTCCAGAAATTTATTCTGGTTAATAACAGCACACACACACACACACACACACACACATTGAAGAGAACTACAGTGAAGTATCCAAGCATTAGAAGTTCAAGGCTGGAAAAAAAACGAAGGATTTTTGGCTAATCACAAACAACTGAGGTAGTGTGATGTACCAAATGAAACTGGTCCATTGTAAGATCTCATAACCTCGACCAAGAAGAGAAAGTTGAAATAGTATGACTAGGTCACAAGGAGCCAAGTGTTTTAGGGAGGCATTCATGTAGGAGTTCTTCACAGAGTAGTGGTTCTTTGGAAGAAGCTGTCCGAATGGCACAATCCTTCTTAACAAGAAAATATGGGTGATTTTATCATATGGACGTAGCTGTCCGGGTTTTAACTCTAAATATCTGAACTGGTGGCACTAAAGAATGGAGCTTATCTAACCATTTTCCATAGAAGTAGCAATAGGTTTGTGGCGTTCCGTCTGTGAGGAAGGACCTGAAGGTTGGAAAATAAATTGTCACCCGCGTTAACGATATTGAACTCTGTTCTGTTTGGTAAGTGAGATTTGAGCAGACCCCAGCCAGATATGGCAGTCAACCACCCTTTTTTTTCCAAAATAATATGATTTGTTGGGCTACGGCCTATTGTAGTAAAGTTGAAAATACAGATAATTTTATTTTGAAACACTGTAATTTTTTCATTTGAACATGAGTTATTGAAAGTTAGAGAGTTGTGTCCCTTTAATTGTTTTTATCAACAAAGATGGCGGAATCCGAAAACAATCGCAGTAATGAAAACTTATGAATCCAAAATTTCAGGATTGTATGTCCAAATCTGGCCCACAATGTTTTTAATGTTCCCACGGAGTCGGCCTGATTCCTAAATGGTATGATATATTGGACAATGGACTCTAGGAGTAAAATTGAAAAGGTGTGACACAGTGACACGCTGAAATTCGCATTTATTATATACATATAGCCTGTTTGTTTGTTAAACTAATTGCTTATGCTATTTCCCAGTGGTGGCAGGTTCGAGGTCAGGTAAAAGGTGTATAATTAAAAATTTTAAAACAGCCAGGCTCTCTTTACTTGAAGGACTGGCGCAATAGAGTCTTCATTTAAAGGTCTGCTTAGATGGATATGACAATTGCTTGTTTCCTACTGGAGCCGTTATTCAAGTCCAGATAAAAGCCATGATTTCGAATGCTAATTTTTCAATGTAGACTTTCGATACTAGGGTGCCTGATGAAATACAATCTACCTATTCGATATTGATATTCACCAAATTTGTTCTTTTGCTTAAACTTATTAAATATCCACACACGTGTTTCGGTGGTAGTGGAGGGTGTTCAAGTTCTGGCAAGGATTCGAATGCTAATTTTCAGCTCCTCCTTACTTGGAAGACTGTAGTGGCCTAGCCAATCCGTATCAGTGACAAAATACAAATTAAACTGACCCTGAAACCTGGCATAAATACACTAATAATTCAACCATTCACACTTATTCAACAATCTTTGATTCAATTGTGTATTTTTATTCTATATAAATCAATGTTATTGTTAAACCTTTAACTATGTCGTTTTCACTCTGATTTCTTTTGAATAATTTGCTTTCAATGTTCATGTTTCTTAATTTGTTGTGGATGAATGTCTAAGAACACCGACATCACTAACCCTTTCGACAAAATAACCTTCTGATACCTTGAAATACATTCGCCAGTCTGCAACAGTTTACTGAACTCTGGAGTCGATTTTAATGGGTTCAGCACAAACTGAGAATACTTAGCCGTGATCCTCTTTTAATGAGTTTAAAACAGATAATGTAGAAATCTAATTCTACCAGACTAACACGACGCGATCTTCTTAGGTTCAGTTCCTATGAAGCTTTACATCCGACAACTACCGAAATATTGACAAACATGGACATTCGTGCCCGCAAAACAATCTTACTTATTATAAAACGTAGATTGTGTGTGTGTGTGTGTGTGTACGTTTATATGTTGGATCGGATTTCCTACATTTTTCAACCGATTTCAACAAAACTTCACAGGACTGCGTAAAATTACCTTGCGGTGGTTCTGACAGCACCAAAAATTGGAAAAACACAATTGTTTTTTTCACGAAATCAATTTGAAAACACGATAAAACACGATTCTGTCACCAGAATGAAAGGGGGACAACTCATATCGAGTTATGTGTATGTGTTCGTTTATATATGGGATCGGATTTCCTACATTTTTCAACCGATTTCAACAAAACTTCACTTTTTTTTGGCAAGTAGTGTTTCTTATTGTCTTGCACACTTTTTTATTTTTACATTCAGAATGCTTTAAAAATTCCATTTACAAGACAATTGTTTATAATAAAATTCTATTCAATCGATAGACTCATAACGATTGAAAACAATGTTTTTGTTTGAGTTTGGGTTTGACCAATTCGTAAAAAAAAAAAAAAAAAAAACTAATTAAGACATGCGTGTCCATCAACCTTAAACAATAATCTTTGTCAATTTTATTTTTCAGTCTTTATGATGGTCGATACTTAATCTATTTCTTACTGTTACATCCCCGGGCAACGCCGGGCTCTACTGCTAGTAACAAATAAAAAAAAAAACATAACAAAAAGGAATATCAAAAAGATAGTTTTCCTTTGACACCGCTATTTTCACTCCATCGGTAATGTTTGTTTTTTTAAAGAGTGATGATTAGAATTTTACTAAAACTTAAACATGATGAATGAATTTATACATTTTTTGTTCTTGAGAATTTACAACAAAAATATTTAACACTATTTATCCGATTGTTTATTTAGAAGAACAATTTTATATTTACAACATTCTAAAAACTTAAAAAAAACTAAATGAAATTCAATATTTATCATTCATTAACCAATTTATAAAGAACTAAATGTGAAAACAATTTTTTTTATTCATAAATTTATAAACAGTTACTAAATTATTAAAATATGTGAAACAACTATAAAGAAATCCTTTTAATTTACACTTTTATAAAGTTCGAATTAATTGGCAATTAGCTGCTGTTTTAACAGCCATTCCAATAAACATTATAATAAATAAATAATAATTAAAAAAAAAAAAATTTATCAATTCGTAAGAAGAAAGAAAATGTACAAGTTCACTTTCATATGTTTAGGTTTCATTGTAATTCTAATAATCACTTTTTAAAAGAATAAACATTTGCCAAAGAGTAAAGCAGTTAAAATGAAAGCGGCGTCATGAGGAAAACCGTTCTTTTTTTTATTTGTGGGCACGAAGGTTGATGTTTGCCGAAATATCGATACGCATCTGCTTGCGAGCGAGGACGCTTATGCGTACATATCACCATTCAAATCCATTATCGTTCCAATATGATAGGGCAAATGTTGATCGGCTTTAGCAAAGGATTCCTCCATCACCGGTGGGCATTATCGATGGTGGAGGCGAGTAAACGGTAAGAGAAGGATAGAATCGCAGTGGGTGAACAGTGCATTTTTGAATGGGTGTGGCTTATTGGCTTATGGTCGAGTCGGAAAGAAAGAAACCGAAGAAAAGTAAATGCAATGACAAAGGCTAATTTTGATCTTTTGAAAGATGTTAAGTGGTCAACTAGAGAGGGTAGGAGACAGGGAAGAAGAGGAAAATTGAGAAACTGAATGATTGACTGACGGATTCATTTTCTACGATTTATTAATCCGCTGCAGGTTATTTAAAGTCAGAGAAGATTGTAAGATCTTCTTTAGATGATAATGATTTAGTGATACGTCATACTAATTAACCCATAGAGGGGGGAAGAAGACTCATACTTGATCAGAAATTTATAAACTAATTACAATGTGAATATAAAGTGGGGGATCAATTCTATATTATATATACAATATATAAACTGATCCCTCACTTTGTGGTCATGGCAGTTTCTATATATTTGTATTCCACAGTATGTAAATAAATCTAAAAAATATGCTTGTGTAGCTAATCAGTATTTCATTGATACATTTTTTACAGCTTATCAACCCTTTGCAGGTTATTTAAAACGGGAAAATATTTTTAGATTATAAGAATTTTTTTTATTAGAAATAATAATGATTTAGTTATACAATTTTTACAAATTATCCCATAGCTGGGGAAGAAGAGGTGGATTCATCCCTTTTCTAAGGGTATTTGCGCATAAGTATAATACAACGAACCCAACTGGAATTAGAACTCGATTCTCCGATTAACAACTCGGAGCCATTATCCATTACACCACCCGCACATCCAAGCTTGCTACAGCACCTGGTATTCTCAAGCGGTCACCCATCTAGGTACTGACCATGCTTGACGTTGCTTAACATTGGTGATTTTACGGGAACTGGTGTTTCTGTGTGATGTGGCCGTAAGCTTGGCAGATACTCTCAAGGCCTGTTGTAAATAATCTAAACGAAATAGCCATCCTCTGCTTCTCTCATTTTCCACTCATATGATGAAAGCGTTTTGGAGTTATCAACAAGAAAAAAATCGGACTCTGTCTCAATCATTCGTCCGCCGTTACGGGCATTGTGTTTAACAATTTAACTCGTGACACTTCCGGTCGCGCAAGCATAAATTTTGGCTTATTTACTTCTTTAACTGAATTTAACGCTGAAATCACTACGCAATGTCGTAAAGCGATTTATTTTTTATAAGTGTAGTATTATTTATAACATAAAACTTTAAATGAAAACAAATTAAATAATACAATAAAACCTTTTTTCTGTGTATAATAGCAATGACGAATTAAAAGAACAAATTAAATTATACAATAAAGCATTTTTTTAAAATTAAAAACAAAATAAACAGTAATTAGGGTCAAGATTGCTAAACCCTAACCCCAAACCTAACCCTAATCTAGGGTTAGGGTCAGGGTTACTAACCCTTAATCTCAACCCTAACCCTAAGTTAGGGTTGGAGTCAGGGTTACTAACCCTTAACCCCAAACCTAACCCTAACCTAAGGATTAGCTGACCCCAACCCTAGGTTAGTGTGGTTTTGAAGAGCGTGGAACACTTAATTGCTGTTGTTCCCGGGTCCACCCTAACTAGGGGTTAACAACGGGCAAACAGTGAACCCCCAAACAAAAGTTAACAGCGTATTTTCATAACAAAATGGCAGCAATACATTTTTATAACAAAATAACAATCAATGCAACACTAAAAAAAATAAAGAAGTACATTTTATTGTAAAATTACAAACAATTCATTTTATGATCTATAAACTATATATCTAAAAAAAAACATACCTTTACTTTGAAAGTATCTGGATAGTATCTTTCGCTATTCCAATGCACCTTTGGATTTCCGCGTCAAATTTTCCGTCGTATGTTACGACACTAAACAGTTACATTTTTGTACCCGCTTAATTTCTGCCGTCTTTAACACGTAGCTCACACGTTATTCTTCTAGTTAGTTAATAGTTAGTCCTTTCTTCTTGCTTTCCTGTTGTGGTGTCCTTCCTCTAAAGAGTCTATGTTGGACTCTTCCGCCTACTATAACATTAGTAGGAGAGAAGGCCTTGTTGGTGGGGACAGTCGACCAGATTGTTCATCTGTCGAACTCTCTGCCTTAAGCGGAGAGGAATCCGGACGAGGCTTTGCCGAAGGGAAAAGTTTCGTCCGGGGAGGTAGACAGGCCCTGAACCCATTTATGCGGGTTCTAAGGAAATATTTTGGCCGAGCTTTCGGGCTCGGAGAACCCACGGTAAACTCGGCCTTGTGCCACATACATCCCTCGTGGTTGTTAAATATAACAGTCGAACAGATCTGTTCGGCTGTGCTAGTCAAACTCTCTGCCTCCGGGCAAAGAGGATCCCCAGACGAGGCTATGTCGAAGGGCAGAGTCTCATCTCGGGAAACACCTACCCGGCATCTTTTTGTACGGGGTCAATGGGGAATTTTTAGCCGAGCCTACGGGCTCGGATTGCCCCACATTAAACTCGGCCTTGTGCCACATCCTACCTCGTGGGGAGGCTGGTAAATATCAACAGTCGAATAGATTGAACGCTGGGTCGACCGACACACACTCACTAGTCGTGTAATACTCTTCTGTTGTACTTACTGTTTAATATATGATATATCTGCAACTCTTGTTTTGTTATTTCTTTAACCATTTAATTGGTCACAACATTTCCTTTACTAGTTTGTCTTGCGGTTTTCTCTGTCGTCAACACTTAAATTGATCTAATAGGTGTCATCTTTTACCTTTTTTTTTATCTCTCTATTTCCTAAATTGCTTTTGCTCCCTTTCTACCGCGATCGTCTTTTTTCATCGGTCTTGAAACTAGCTTTTCCTCGTCTCTTTATTCCCGCCATCTTTAAGCTGATCCAAACTCGTTTCCAGCAATTTTCAAGGGTGGGTCGGGGAGCGTTGAAAGTTGCCGAGATGACAAAGGTGGTGGATCAAGGAATTGCAGATCGATTTACAATCACGTTGGAATCTCTTCGTAGCAGATTGCAAGTGGTGCTTATGTCAGTGCAGCAAATTCTGCTCATCAAACGCCTTACAAGATTGATTTGGGTTTTCCTTCTGCTCGAGTTCGATTCATACCTTTGAGAAAGACATTTGCGCGTCAGTGAATATAACGAACCCAACTGGAATTGGAACTCGGCTCTCCGATGAACAATTCTGAGATATATTATCTATTACACCACCCGCACATCCAAGTTTACAGCACCTGGTATTTCCAAGTTGGAGTAATTGATAACGGCTCGGATTGAGGAATTGGAGAACCGAGTTCGAAATCCAGTCGAATCCATTACATTCACTCATGTTATGGTAATTTACCCACGCACGCATGGTCTCTCCCAGCTATAAATAGGAACAGGTATTGCCTTTTTGGAGAGAGAAGTTTCCAGCAGTCAGCTCTGACAGTTGGACCAGACATTCTTGCTGTAACATTCTCGTTTGTATATGTTTGTATTACTGTTTCTGTTAATATATTTGTTTAACTCAATTCCTCTCTTTGTGTCTTGATTTCTGGTCCTACCAAGGCCGCAACAACTCACGTGCTAATACCCTTCGGAAAACTATGAATCCTCTTCTTGTCCCCCACCCAGCTATGGGTAAATAGCAGCACAGACCGGGTTCTATAGCCTTGGATGGCAACTGGTCTACCGCAGAAAGAAATGGCAACCTACTACGGGAAAAATTTGCCTCGTCATTCATGTATCGTAAGATACATGATCGCCTAAGCATTTATCACGCATGGCCCATAACTGATTGACATCCATACAGGTACTAACCAGACTTCGGTGATTGTACGGGGACTAGTGTTTCAACGTGATATGGCTATAAACCCCTGTTAAAGAGAGATGCTGTTTTTTTTAATACAAGTTATTTTGTATTCAGTTTCCTGATATTAGAGTTTGCATTGTTACTTTTTGTAAGGATCATTCTGAAGTCTTTGTCGTTTTTTTCAGGTTTCAAAATCTATTAAAGGTTTTATGTAGTTTTGACAGTTTTATATTTTGGTATAAAATTTGATTTCCTTTAAGTTCAGGATATTGGTTAGTGTTTTAAAAGAGTTATTTTTGCATTGTTTGTTTGATAATTTTTGTTCGGGTTTCACAGAGGTAATGGCAACACATATGTTCGACTATTGGAGATACTTGACATCTGTTGCATGATGGGGAAGAAAGTTTTGTGAAGACACGCATCATAAAAAAAACCCAGCGCATATATACATCCACACATCAACAGTCACCGCCCCTTACACAAATGTGCACAATCGCGCGTGAACGCGCGCACACACACTCACTCACACCCGCACACTTACACATAAGCACCAAAAGTATTAAGAAATATATGACTGAAAAAATCGTCAGGTTACTAAATTGTGTTATTTCTTGGGGACAATGGAATGGTTGGGTGGATTTTACGACATAACCTTTACTGATTTAATATCAAAATCAGTTTTTATTTATTAGACATGAATCCATAGTTCAACATTGGTCGTTTGTATATTTCAGTTTATAGATGCATATTAGTCGTGATTATCTCTGAGTCTGCAGGTGAACATTGTTCGGGTTTATACTTTATAGATGTCGATTGGTCGGGTTTATAGTTGAGTATATATGTGATCATTGGTCGGATTAATACTTGAGTATATAGATGGCTATTGGTCAGGTTTATACTTGTCTATAGATGGTCATTGGTCAGGTTTATACTTGAGTCTATAGATGGCCATTGGTCAGGTTTATATTTGAGTCTATAGATGGCTATTGGTCAGGTTTATACTTGTCTATAGATGGTCATTGGTCAGGTTTATACTTGAGTCTATAGATGGCCATTGGTCAGGCTTATACTTGAGTCTATAGATGGCTATTGGTCAGGCTTAGACTTGAGTCTATAGATGGCCATTGGTCAGGTTTATACTTGAGTCTATAGATGGCTATTGGTCAGGTTTATACTTGTCTATAGATGGCCATTGGTCAGGTTTATACTTGAGTCTATAGATGGCCATTGGTCAGGTTTAGACGAGTCTAGAGATGGCCATTGGTCAGGCTTATACTTGAGTCAATAGATGGCCATTGGTCAGGTTTAGCCGAGTCTATAGATGGCCATTGGTCAGGCTTAGTCTTGAGTCTATAGGTGGCCATTGGTTAGGTTTATACTTGTCTATAGATGACCATTGGTCAGGCTTATACTTGAGTGTATAGATGGCCATTGGTCAGGCTTATACTTGTATCTATAGATGGTCATTGGTCAGGTTTATACTTCAGTCTATTGATGGTTATTGGTCGGGTTTATACTTGAGTCTATAGGTGAATATTGATTGTGTGTATAATTAAGTCTAGAAGCGAATCTTGGTCACCCAGACTTGTGCCTGCTAGCACTTATGATGTAAATAAATGTAAATAAATGACAGAACTTCCAAACAAACAGAATTGACAAAGTTTGCATTAAACAACAAGAAAAATTAAATAAAATAAATGGGCAAAATAATATAAACTAAAGCGAACAATATATGCAAGGCAAATTAAGAGTATTAAGACCAAGCTACAGTAATATGGCGAAAGGTTCACAAGTTAAGAATTTGGGTTGAGACACGAGAACAAGTTCGGGTAAACGAACGTAGGGTTCTGAGTTCAAGACAAGACAGACCGGGATTGAGTCATATGAAACCGAGAACCGGCCTGTTTTATTGGCTACAATCCCAGCATGCAAAGCTCTCAATGCTGTCCACAGATCCGAATCTCTCAATTAGGGCCTGCTGTAGCGCGGTCCAAGTCAGACCTTGGCGAAACCACTACGCCAGACGCCTCTCCCTCTGTGTAGCCCGCCGCCAATGCTACTATTTCTACGTCGCTCATTTCATAGATACGGACTTTTTTCAATGGCCATTAACCATGGATTCAACTGTAGCA